TCTCGTAACTTAATCTGTCAAATGCTGGACCGTAAATATTTCTAGAAACAGTTATATTAACTTGTGATACAGCGGTTTTCATACTCAGTCCACTACCTCGTCTTGCTTCCAGTTTCAACTGAAATTTATTTATACAGTAAAAAAATGAATCAGAAATAAAATAAAGTTTTCATACTTCTAGTGGATTACTGATCAGCTAGATTTAAGGTTAGGTCACATTTTATGAGTTTTCTTATTTATGTTCTAAGCAATATTGACGAGAGCTAATATCATGCTGTCAACAAAAAATTTAGATAAGAACTTTCCATTAGGACGGCAAGATTTGAAATGGTGATTAATATTCCAATATTTGGACTTCAACAAGTAAGGAATCAACAAGAGCAAGAAGAAAACTATGGGAATATACTACAATACTAAAATTCTGAAATAAAAACTACAATGTAAAGTAGTTCTTATTCTAAATAAATCATGAATAAAAATAACCATAGTAACTTTAGATGTTCCCGAGCATGCTATGCCATTTCAGAAATATATCATTTTGTAGTGAAACTCACTGACTCACTCAATGTAGATTTTTTAACAATTTAAACTTACAATGTACAGTGATTTTCTATTCAGATCTTGTGAGAGAGGTTTCTTGATCAATATCCGTCCGTTTGATTGTTGTATTTTAAAATAATCAGGAGCATCACTCTCACCAGTTATATAGTATGTTACACCAGGCTGTAATTACAGGTTGAAATTTCATTCATCATTCAACAAAACATAACTAATTCGAGCCAAAGAATCTATTACTTCATCAATCTGACACTGCCCCAAGACATAAAGCTGATATAGAACCACTATTGATTTGAAAACTTTTGGTTTATTTTCATTTCATTGTATGACATGGGCAACACCGATATTTATCAGAATTGACACTTTTAAAATTTTCTATAAAACTATAGCAACCTTCGCTTTTCTGTATATTCTTGATCAAAAGAATCAGCTAAGCTGCTTTTGTGAGTAAAAATGATTTTGAGGTGCCAAAATCAAGTATACATTGGCAAGAAAAAATAGGCGGGATCAAATTAAGTTATCATCGATAGTATGAAACAGTACTAGCACCAAAATAACAGTGTACTGAATTCTCAATCTTGACACTAGAAAAGCACAGGTCGGGGTATCTTGTTAGGATGGTTATACATCTAGTTGATTGAAGAATGGGCGAATTATAAACTTGCAAAGTTTTTTTTATTAAGATTATCTGAATTCTTTAAAAATAACTCCTGTAACAGAAGTACAATTTGAAAATAAACATACCCCTGGAGAAGCAAATACTTGGATAACATTTGAGTCTACAGCACTACCTTCAACAAAATTATTTACTTCATAAACATTCTGAGAGAATGAGAGTCCTGCACCACGTCGGATGTTGACATTAACTGTTACTCTAGCTCGTTGAACTGGAAATCCTCCATCCCTAGCCTCCACAGTTGCCTAAAATAACAAAATAAGAAATTGACTGGACTGAAACTAGGAAGCTGTAGAAAAAATATTAGTACTAAAAGTAACTACAACATCAAGGTACAAGTACAGATTGATATACTACATGAACAATAACCTATCTAAATATTATCCTTTCAACTCCAAAAAAAAAAACATTATGCTGGAATGAAGAGAAAAAAAAGATTATAAGGAAAATCCAAGAGAATATCACAAAATTTTAATGATTTATACAGGGAAAGGGAAAGGTTGAAAACCCCTGCTCTAAAGCATATTTCTGATCTCACTGACAACCTGTGGTTTAAAATGACAACAACAGTGTAGGCTCTAAATCTCTGGCAGCTCTGATCTGAGGTACTATATATCTCTTGTGTACTAAATATAATAACATATTGTGTTAATATTTATACCTGTAGACCACTAAGTGAGGTAACACCAAGAACAGATTTTTTTAAAGTCAGAACACCAGTATCAGGATTCAGGAAGAGATATTCACTGACACTAACAGATGGGTTCAGGATAAAGTATGATATCGTATTAGCAGGAGCCTATAAGAAAACAGAAATTCATCAACAACATGCTCAATAAAAAATAACTACAAGTTCAATTATTTGGAATGGAATTTCAAAGCGTAAATACACACTAAAAACAAATTATGGTTCAGTTAATAACCATACATCTTAAATTCAGAAAATCAACCCTCATCCAAGATCTCCCCAATATACAGAAACATGCCAAAATTTGTCAAAATCAGTACAAAACTCTAGTCTCTATGAAGCTCTATGAAGAACTGGATGTGTCATGTACAATATACATGGACCATAAAATGTGGGCATATACGAAAGTTAAACTTTGTAGTTAATACATGCAGCTGTCTAGAGATATGCACAGGCTGTAGCTCAGAAGATGTGGGTTTCCTTCTCATCTAATTAGCAAGACACATCCAAACTGATACAAACATTACATTTCGGAATAAAAAAAAGTCAAAATAATTTATTACACTTACTCTTGGACTCTGATCAGTAGCATTGACTTGCACTATCTGTAGACCAGGAGTATATGTGTCTGCTATTTCTACATTTAAAACTGAATCATGTTGGAAGACAGGTGGCAGTAGATTACGTTGAACAGTTAAGAGACAGGTAGTTGTGGCTGATTTGGCAGGGAATCCACTATCTATTGCTTGTACTCTTAGCTAAACAAGAATAAACATTTTTCTCATAGTTTATACACGTATCTCAAATACCGGTTTTGACATGGTCTTATAGTGGGGATATATATTATATTCTATTTTAACACTATTAATTATGAGGACTCTATGAAAGAGATGCTAAGTTGACAAACCTAATACAAGAGTTGTATTAAATTTAGATGATCAAAAAAAAGTTTGTCTTACTACATTTACTGTTGTAGTTAAACTCAAAATGAATAGAAGATTTCAAAACATATTTCATTACAAAGATGAATATGTCTTCAGACTGTACATTGTAAATTAAATTACCTTATATGTATTGGTAGTGTCAACACTAAGGTCATTGGCATTGGTAATCCTGATGACTCCATTTGATTCCACTCGGAAAAAATTAACAGCAGAGTCATCACCAATCACACTTAAAGTTACATCATTAAATGGTGGCTGCAACATAAAATATTCATACTTAGAAATATATATAACCAAGTACCTAAAGCTGAAATTTGAATGATATCACAGAGAATAAGTTGATTTGTTTCATCAATAGTTTGTAAATATTTTCTACCTGATCTGAGTCAGACACAAATATCTGAGAAACTTGCTGGTTAAGAGTAACTTGACTGATTACAGCTGAACAGGAAGGAGAGGTGGAGAATACAGGAGCATTGTTATTTCGAGTTACAGATACAATGACTGTTGCTGAGTTAGTACCAGCGTTTCTTGGATCACCCCCATCTTGAGCTGCTACAATCAACTAAAATATATCAAATCATTAAATTGAACAGATAACCTAATATTTACACTAAAAACACAGCATTCCAATTCATGATGCTATTAACAACTGGAAATATGCTCAATATTTTCAAGAGATAAATTAACATTAGCCTACATAGAAAGACCAAAATATCAATTGATAGAACAATTACTTAATTGATCTTATATTTAGATCCATCAAATAAGATTGCTGTGATTTTCAAAGATTTTAACTTTATGCAATCTAGGGTACAAATTTATCAGCCAGTGTCTGTTGGAACACTAAATCAAAAGATAGTGGACCACAGCCATATACGCCCACCACGGCACGGTAAAAACGAAACACCCATTTTAAGTTTCATCAAAATCGGTTGAAAACTAAGAGACTCGAGAGAGTAATAGCATATTCAAGATTTTGGGGCAAGGGCAAAATTCGAACTTGATCTTCGTTTTATGAATATGTATGCACATACCGAATTTCATTTGATTCCATCAAAAAATCTAGTTTTTAGAGCGTTTACAAGCAAATGTTGACAGATGGACATAGAGAGATGTGGGCGTATAAAAATCAACCAAAACAAGTGTTGAAACCGTTAATAATTTAATTGATTTCGTGTAGGATTTCAAGAGTAACTTTCAGATTTTAGATGATCAGTTAACAATTAATTTTAGAAGATCAAAAAAGACATTTTTGACAAAGGATTTCTCACTTTATTAATAATTAAGCTGTTCTCTTGTAAATAAACATCTAATATTGTGTCGTTTTTGTTGAGAGTTTGAGAGGTTCATATAATGGGCTATCAATTATCATCACATGTGTTGCAACTACAAATGCAGTTTTTGATTCTTGTTTGTTTATTGACTATTAACCGAGATAAACCGGGTAACAAAGGATTATTGCCAAAAATTACCCGGTTGATCAAAATCACTAACTGTTTCAACACTAGCTAAAACAGAATAATACTTCAAAGTTTGGAGCAAATGCTTCACTCATATACAAGCAATTTTAGTATACAAACCGTATAAGAGGAAGGCGCGTTTGTATCCAGATATAAAGGCAATGCCAGGGTTATTTGTCCTGTGGTAGGGTTGACGTTGAAATAGCGTGGACCATCTCCATTACCAATTAAACTATACTCAATTGAATTTTGTGGTGCCTAGAAAAATATAAAGATCAAGATGGTGGTTAAAAATGCAGAATTATTTCAGTTTTTCAGACATTAGATATTACCTAAAGAAGCTAATTTACCACATTAAACTCAGATCAAGCTATCAAGAAAGTTACTTCTTTATCATGTGCTGTTGTCCTGGCAATATTTCCCTCATTGCACATTGCATGTAGGTGCAGAAGGCGTAAAACTCCATTCATTTCATTTACTGTTGTATCATAATAAGAAAAAATGAAGAACGCAATCTGATTAAGATATATCTGAAATTCAGGGCTCAAATTTGCATGGATTTCATGAATATGCAACAAATATGTAGTTATTTACATCTTCAAGAACATGCCTCTGAAAACAATTCACAAGATTTGGTGCCCTCAAAAAAAAAATATTATATATCTTATATCTCAATCAATATTTTGAATCATTGTTTTCTCATAATGAATTGTTGTTACACTTACAGTAGTATCTCTATCTGTAGCATTAACTCTCTCAATTACATTTCCTACTTGTGTAATCTCTGATATGGTAGGGGTGTATCGCACCGGCTCAAAAACTGGACTAAAAAAATTTCTTGAGAGCAGAACATTTACTTCTGATGTATCAGTTAAACTTGGTATTCCATTATCAAATGCCATCACAGTTACCTGAAATAGAATCATATAAGCATATTAAAATCTGCCCACAGCAGAAACTGGTATTCGCCTCTCATATCTTAAAGGGATTGTAAAGAGGTTTTTAAGACTTTTCTTGTATTGGGTCTATAGCACCAATCATATCTACTGTCCAACATGTTTGGCAATTACAAAATCATGACTAGAATGACTAGAAGTTAGATTATCATGTCACTATCACAAATGCCAATTGAACCAAATGGAGCATTGGTGACATTATTTTTGGTTAATATTCTTAAATAACAGGACAAATGGTTGTCAAAAAGATATCAATATGGTGGAAATGACCAGAACAAAACTTAAATATTTCCAGTAACCTTACAGTCAATATTTTTAAGTGTACAGACAAATGAAATGAAATATTTTAAGAAAACAGTATATTACCGAATATTTGGCTTTGCCATTGGTATTAAAGTTAGTATTAGTTGTAATTCTACCAGTAGTACTATCCAGGTTAAAAACACTGACATCACCATAAATCATACGATAACTTATTCTGTTAAAATCGTTCTGAAGATATCAAAAATACAAATAAGTTATGAACAGTTGGTTACTTCATTAGCTCTGCTTCTACTACACCAAATTTTCCAACAAATTATCTTTGTAAGTCTATGTTGAAAAATGAATAAACTTATTCAACAATTTATCTAAGAGAAAAGATTTAATTTTATCAGTGCACAAATCACCAAAAAGGTAAAAATAAGAAAAAAAAAATTTCCTACCCTAGTATCAGCATCTGTAGCCAGTATACTCAGTACTTCAGTATTTACTGGTAGGAACTGAGAGTTAAATGTACGTTCATATGGTTCATTTTGGAAGACAGGAGGAGATCTATTTCTAAGGATAGTTATGGTAACTGGAACTGTAGAACTTACAGACGTACCATCTCTATTTCTTACTATCATAGTATACTGTTAATATTAAACACAATTCATTCATTCATTTTTTAAGTCTATATTTAAATTCATATGTAGGACATATTATTCTCATAGTAAAAATTCTACTGCTCAATATCACTATATAGAAATGTGTCAACATCCTGAGATACGCAGGGTTTTCCTAAATTTAAAAGAATTGAGTTGAATCCTATCTTTCAGTAAATTTGGCAGGCGTAAGAAATCACCAGTCACCAGTTAGATACATGTAAATAACTTACTTGGTATGTATCTTGATTAGTTTCATATAACTTCCTATTAACATAAATACTTGCTGAGGTACCATCAGGATTGTTTGAAATTCTGAATACATTATCATTATTGGTAAAGGAGAAATCCATCAAATAAAAAATTGTACCCTAGAAGGAGTAACAAAAAGTGTTATCTACAATTTTGTCTGTCTGTTGAATATAGATGCCAGAATTTGATGTACCAGTACCTCCTTTGTCTACCATGTGAGGTATCTGATATAACCTCTTAAAGAATCAATTAAAGATTTTGATGTCTAGTTTTCATAAATTTAATCGAAAAAAAAAGTGTCCAACCTACGCAGAAACATCAGATTGACCCTTTAAAATATGGTACTAGTAAAAATAATACCTGTACATCCCCATCCTGTCCTGTTGCTGTCAAAATGACCGAACCAGGTGCCTGGGTTTCTGGGATGCTGGCAGAATATGATGTCTGTGTAAAATTGGGTGTGTTCAAATTTCGATTGACATTAACAGTTATAATGGTGGTAGCTGATAATCGTGGATTACCTCCATCACGACATCGGATACGAACCTGAAATAACATATACCAAACATATCAATTAGCGCTATAAGAAAGTAGATTCCTACAGAGAATTAGGAGACTTCCAACATAAGAGCCAGGAGATTTCCCACAGAGAGTCAGGAGATTCCCTACATTGTGAAAGGAGATTCCCTACAGCGAGAGGTTTCCTGTACAGATTCAGGAGATTTGCTATAGAGATTCGGGAGATTTGCTATAGAGAGTCAGGAGATTTCCTATAGAGAGTCAGGAGATTACTTGTGAGTGTAAGATGGTTTTAAAGGTAACACCTGCAGACAATCTGCAACAAACTTCATCAGTATTCCTACAGAGAATTGGGAAATTACTTGCAGAGAGTCAGGAGATTCCCTAGAGAGAGTCAGGGGATTCCCACAGAGAGTCAGGAGATTCCCTGCAGAGAGCCAGGAGATTCCCTGCAGAGAGTCAGGAGATTCCCTAGAGAGTCAAGACATTCCCACAGAGAGTCAAAAGATTCCCTACAGAGAATCAAGAGATTCCCTGCAGAGAGTCAAGAGATTCCCTGCAGAGAGTCAGGAGATTCCCTACATAGTCAAGAGATTCCCACAGAGAGTCAGTAGATTCCAACAAAGAGTCAAGAGATTCCCTAGAGAGTCAAGACATTCCCACAGAGAGTCAAGACATTCCCACAGAGAGTCAAGAGATTCCCTACAGAGAGTCAAGAGATTCCCTACAAAGAGTCAAGAGATTCCTACAGAGGGTCAGGAGATTCCCTACATAGAGTCAAGAGATTCCCTGCAGAGAATCAAGAGATTCCCTGCAGAGAATCAAGATATTTCCTGCAGAGAATCAAGAGATTCCCTACAGAGTGTCAAGAGATTCTCTACATAGACTCAAAGGATTCCTTGCAGAGAGTCATTTGTTTAAAAAAGTTCTTACAAGCATCTTCTTGATTTTCTTTTTTTATTTTCAATTCAACACTTAACATAGGATAAGATTTTTTAGTCATTACATCTTGCATATGAGAGCTAAAACTTGACTACATAAATGAATTGGGGCAAAGGCTACATATATTCCCTTTTAATTTTGTAAGGAGGTCACATAATTCTTGCTCAACCTACCAAAAACTCATTTGATTTGTTAAAGGAATGTGAACTTATGTACTGATATAACAATACATGAATAAATAACTTACAATATACAGTGTATCAGTCTCTTGGTTGATGTTTCTATTTAAAGTCAACTGTCCATTGTTTGACAGAGAAAACAATACTTGTGAATTAGAATCACCAATTATGTCTTGAGTCACAACACCAAAAGCATTCTGAAAAATAAACCAGCTAACATTTGACAAAGCAAGGTAACTTACACCAAAACAAAGAAAATTATACCTGAAAATATTTCTAAAATATGCTATTTATATCAATGGATCTACTTGATCAACCTCAATCTGTTTGAATCTAAGGGATAATCAAAAACAGAGAATACAAATAGTTATGTTTTGGTATTTGGCCTCATAAAGACTCAATATTTTTAGTTGAAGCCTTCAGAATAAGCAGGACATGAAATTTTCTACAATTTGGCATTTCCTAATTTGTACAATAGATTTCCATCACCTACCAAAAACATAACTAACTTAAAAAGTTTTATGTAAACCTTTTAAATAGTCTTTCCAGCAGGATCTTTTTAGTTTTTAAGTTTAAAGTTTTCATTAATTTGAGCACTTAACTTTATAAACCAACTACCAAAATTGAAAAGAATAAAGTGTTGGTACACGTTGATAATTCTGTGGTCTATATCACTGAACCCAAAGCTTATTGCACTCTAAATAAAAGCATACATACAAAGAGAACTTACTTGATCTGTGTCTTGACATGTAGCCGAGAAAATGACTGAATTAGTTGTCTGAGCTCTGTTTATAGTTGTAGAATATGGTATTCCATCGTAAAATGGTGTGCCTGAATTACGTGTCACGGTAATTCTCACCCGAGAAGGAATGGAGGTTCTTTCTGGTTCTCCCAAATCATAGGCTGTTACATTAAACTGGAAACAAAATACCATTTTTATTTCAAAGATAGCTTGCCAGGCAAAGTAATGTAGGCCTACAGTTTGATATTAAATAAAAATATTTAGCAGTACAGTAACAATCACCTTTATGAAATGCTCAACCTTCAGTCATATACTTCTTTTGAACTGTCTATGGTGATAATGAACAATATTACCAAATTGTGCCTTTTAGAGTGTTTACAAGGTTCAAATTGAATGCTTTTTCAAGAACGAGGACAATAACTAGTATCACTTTTTTTAATTTTTTCTGATTTTCAAAAAGATTTATCCTTGGGTGATTACAAACACTCGTTTCGTCAAAATCCTTAAAGAATTGTGTCTTCTAGACAGTATTTACCTTTCTTTAAAGTATTCAAACAAAAAATGTTATAATTTCGGTATTCATCGTTTTGGAAAGTTTTGAAATTACATTAGATTCATAGCTTCATCGTACAATCATAATTCTTAAATACTATTGTACCAATCAGAGAAAGTGATAATTTGGTGATAATTGGATTTGGGATTGGTTTATTGTGGTGTTCAACCTTTTACAGTTTTATTTTAAAAAAGAGTTATCCCCAACAACCCTTTATATTGTCAGGCTATAGTTCCTCTCACCAATTTGCACAAAATTTGAAGAAAGTTTGTTGTTTTATTGCTTTTGTTATTTTAAATGGGCATATTTGAATGGTGTAACAAAAACACTATCCAGGCAATAGAAACAGTTTCGTGGAATTCTAAAGTCAGTTCAGTTTCTTTTCACTCCACTCTGGTTGACCCTTGTCAAAAATGGCTATCAAAAAGTCAAATGAGGACAAAGTCAGTTTGGATAACTAACAGAATATGAAATATATAATACCTCGTAAAGATTTAAACTTTGACTAAGTAAACTCTGACGAAGGAAGATCTCTCCAGTAACTTCGTTTATCAGGAAGTTGGTTGCACCAATAGCATTATTATTGATATCTTGTATTCGATACCGCACAACATTATTTGGTGGCTAAAAGAGAAAAGGCAAGCAGTATCAATAATGGCTCACAACTTATTAAATATGATTCTATATTTATTCTTTAGTCACTTAGGAAGAAAATAGACTAAGTTACACGTTTCAAATAAATTAAAAATATTAAATATAAAATTGTTTACCCTTCTATCTGTATCAGCAGCATTTACTTGAAGAATTACTTCTCCCAAAGGCTTAGTTGACAAAATAGTTTCACTGTAGTCTAAGGCTACCATTACTGGTGATCTTAAATTACGTTGAGCAGTTATTTTTATAGTACATGTTGAACTTCTTGGTGGATTACCTCCGTCTGTAGCTTCGATTCTTAACTAAAAAAACAAGAAGCATTAGTTACAAAATTGTACAGTTTGTCTGGCAAATTTTGAGACACCTGCAAACAAAATAAAAACAAAACATCACATGATGTTTATTTGTTATTTATATTGGTTATTTATAGGGCCGGCATCGATTACCAAATTTGAGATTGATTATCGATGGCAGACTACCAATCAATAATCAATTAATAACTGAAATATTTTAATGGAGAATCCTTGTAAATACTCAATTAAAAACATCAAAATCCTTTATTTCATGCTTAATTTTTGCATCATAGAAGTATATATTCTTGCTCTGATTGGTCTATTGTGTGTAAATTAAGTGACGATGATAATTTTTTTTACCGAGTCCTAGTTATCTACATACCTTATAAGATGACAATGAGTCGTCTGATATACTCTGTTTTAATGTAATTTCACCAGTAGAACTAACAGTAA